GCCTGTGGTCCCAGCTACTTGGGAGGCTGAGGCAGGAGACTCGTTTGAGCCCAGGAGTTGGAGGTTGCTGTGAGCAGTGAAGCCATGGCACTCTTCCCAGGGTGACAGCTTGAGGCTCTGTCTCAAAAAAAAAATAGCTGAATGTTGTGGTGGGTGCCTGTAGTCCCAGCTACTTAGGAGGCTGAGACAAGAGAATCATTTGAGCCCAAGAGTTTGAGGTTCCTGTGAGCTGTTTTGCCATGGCACTCTACTGAGGGCAACAAAGTGGGACTCTGTCTCAAAAATAAATTAATTTAAAAAAACACACAAAGTTCACATACCCATTTACACAAAAACTTGCATGTGAACGTTTGTAGCAATTTAATTTCATAATTAAATTTCATAATTTCACCAAAAACTAAAGCAAGCAAGATGTCTTTATGGATGAGTTGATAAATCATGGTGCATCCATACATTCATTCAATGGAATACTATTCAGCAATAAAAAAGAATGAGCTTTCAAGCTGTGTAAAAATGTAAAAATGTGACTGAATCTTAAATGGATATTGCAAAGTAAAAGAAGCCAGCCTGAGACATGCTGCATGATTCCAGTCATATAACATTCTGGAAAAGGCAAAACTCTAGAGACAGTAAACAGATCAAGAAAGAGGGTTGATTAGGTGAAGCACAGGACATTTTTTAGGATGGTGAAGCTGTTCCATATGATGCTATAAAAGCAAACACACAACCCAATGCATTTGTCGTAACCCACAGAGCTTTAGAGCACAAAGAGTGAACCTTAATGTATGCAAATTGTTTTAGTGTATGCAAATTTTTAAAAATCATTTAAGAAGTCAGGAAATTCCAGGGTGGAAGGCAGAATGTGACAAAATAATCTAACTGCATTAAAAATGCCTAGAAAAATCTCACTAAAGGGAGTAGGAGAAGATGCCAAGTTACGTAACTTTGGAAACAAGTGGAGACTGTGAGACCAAAGGTAAAAGGAACTGTACTCTAGTTGATAAAGTATGTGTTAACAATTCTGAAACCACTATGCACGTAAACCAGAATGGAACAATTCAGTAAATGGATAGCACATGGTGTAAGCCAGGTTTCCCACTATAGGAGTGAGAGATTATAGATAAGCAAGGAGAAGAGGTTAGAATAATCCATCTGGTAATGAATTACAGTTGGAGGCAACAGTATAAGCTCATGCTTAGAGATTACATATATGGAAACATTCATACGTATGTGTCATACACAAGTTAATATACACACATATATTTCCTCATTCACTCAGCAGTATGTAGAAACAATACCTCAAAGCAATGAGCGCACGCAGCTCCCACATTTTGATTTCTAATACCATTCTCTAGTAAAAGGCAGAAGAGCTCCTAGGAGAAATGGCCGATTAGAGGTACAGACTATACAAGGTGAACCTGTGGCATATTGTAGTGCCAGAAAACAAAGGATATTTGCTTGCATTAATTCCATTAGATGCTGTACTAGAGATTCTAATCAGGACAGTTAGGCAAGAAAAGGAAACAAAGGCATTAGAAAATAAAAAGTAAAAGTATCTTGCTTTGTAGATGATAATATTTTGTACATAGAAAATCCCAAGGAATCCACAAAAACCTATCTATCAGAGCTAATAAATGAGTTGAGCAAGTTTGCAGGATACATGATCAATATAGAAAAAGCAACTGCATTTCTAGACATTAGTAATAATCAAAATGAAATTTAAAAAGCAATTCCATTTATAATAGGATCAAACATCATTTAAAGAAACTGAAGGCTTGGCGCCTGTGGCTCAAGTGGCTAAGATGCCAGCCACATACACCTAAGGTGGCGGGTTCGAATCCAGCCTGGGCCCACCAAACAACAATGACAGCTGCAACCAAAAAAATAGCTGAGTGTTGTGGTGGGTGGCTGTGGTCCCAGCTACTTGGGAGGCTGAGGCAGGAAACTCGCTTGAGCTCAGGAGTTGGAGGTTGCTGTGAGCTGTGATGCCACAGCTGTCTACCCAGGGGAACAACTTGAGGCTCTGTCTCAAAAAAAAAGGAAAGAAATTGAAGAAGACTTAAATAAATGCAAAGACATCTGCGTTTGTGGACTGGAAGACAATGTTAAGATGACAGTAATCCACACATTAATTTACATGTTCTTTGTTTTTTGTTGTTGTTTGAGTCAGAGTCTCACTCTGTCACCCTGGGCAGAGTGCCATGTGATCATAGCTCACAGCAACCTCAAACTCCTAGGCTTGAGCAATCTTCTTGCTTCAGCCTCCTGAGTAGCTGAGACCACATGCACTTTCTACAATACCCGGCTAATTTCAGTACAGATGAGGTCTCGCCCTTGCTCAGGCTAGTCTTGAATTCCTGAGCTCAAGCAATCCACCTGCCTTGGCCTCCCAGAGTGCTGGGATTACAGGTGTGAGCCACTGTGGGGCTTCTAGTCTTCATGTTCTTCTTCTTCTTTTTTTTTTTCATTAAACTTTGTTTTAACAAGTCTCAAAATTCTGTGACAGATTTTTGGTCAAGTTGTTTCCATTAAAAAGTACTGATTTTAGGGGGCAGCACCTGTGGTTCAAAAGGGCAGGGCACTGGCCCCATATGCTGGAGGTGGCAGGTTCAAACCCAGTCCTAGCCAAAAAAAAAATTTTTTTTCATTAAAAATTAAAAATCTATTAACATTAAAAAAGTACTGATTTTAAAAACTAATAACTTAAAACTGCCACACAAAAAGAAACAAATGGTCCACAAAACAGTCTCCTTTCCTTCTGAAGGTTTTGTGATGCACTGTTATCATTAACCAGTCTTTTACTATTAAACTTAAATGGCCAAGTTCTGAGTCCGTGATTCCACCACCAATTAAGACTGGGGTAGCAGGTATCAGAGATCATATTCATTTAGCCTTCTGAGCTTTCTGGGCAGACTTAGTGACCTTGCCAGCTCCAGCAGCCTTCTTGTCCACTGCTTTGATGATACCCACAGCAAAGGGTGTCTGTCTCATGTCACGAACAGTGAAAGGACCCAGAGGAGGATAGTCTGAGAAGCTCTCAATATACATTGGTTTGCCAGGAAACATATTGATGATGGTAGCATCGCCAGATTTCAGGAATTTAGGGCCATTTTCCAGCTTCTTACCAGAGCAGCAGTCAATCTGTTCCTTCAGCTCAGCAAACTTACAAGCAACGTGAGGTGTGTGACAGTCCAGTACAGGAGCACAACCAGCACTAATTTGGCCTGGATGGTTCAGGATAACCACCTGGGCAGTGAAGCCAGCTGCTTCCATCCTTGGGTCATTTTGCTATCAACAGCAGCGTTGCCACGACGAACATCTTTGGCAGACACATTCTGACGTTGAAGCCCATGTTGTGCCCTGGAAGAGATTTGCTCAAATCTTCATGGTGCATTTCAACAGACTTTACTTCAGTTATATCATTAACTGGAGCAAAGGTGACCACCATGCCAGAGTTGAGAACACCAACTTCCACTTGGGCCACAGGGGCAGTACTGATACCACCAATTTTGTAAACATCTCACAAAGGCAGACGCAAGGGCTTGTCAGTCCGGTTAAATGAGCTGGTGGCAGGATGCAATCCAGAGCTTCAAGCAGTGTGGTTCCACTGGCATTGCCTTCTTTCCTGATGACTTTCCATCCCTTGAACCAAGGCACGTTAGCACTTGGCTCCAACATGTTACCATTCCAACCAGAAATTGGCAAGAATGCTACTGTGTCCGGGCAACTGGACATCCCATTACTTTCCACAGCAAACTAAGAAGAGTGGTGGTTACAGATGCTGGCTTTTCAAGTCAGGACCAGAGCTGTTGCTACCAGTCTAGAATCATGCATTTCTTTCACTAAATCATTGGTTTACTGACCAATTCTATCCTGCGTCTACTGCACTGAGCCCTGACAATACTCCCATGCTAGGCAGATGTGCTCTTTGCCCTTCTGGATGAAGGAGAGGGTGCTGACAGGGACCAGATGATCTGTGATTCGTAGGTGTTAGGATGTTAGTTTGGGAATCAGATGGAGGGTTTTAGGCAAAAGAGTGACACGATCCAATTTTTTGTTTGTTTGATTGTTTATTTTGTTTTGAAACAGAGTCTGTGTCACCCTGGGTAGAGTACTGTAGCATCACAGCTGACAGCAACCTCAAACTCTTGAGCTCAAGCCATCCTCTTGCCTCAGCCGCTGGAGTAGCTGGGACTATAGGCACCCACCTCAATGCCCACCTAGGTTTTTGTTTGTTTTCCTTTTTTTTCTATTTTTTTGTAAAGCCAGGGTGTCATACTGCTCAGGCTGGTCCAAACTCCTGAGCAAAGGCAATCCACCCTCCTTGACCTCCCAGAGTTGCTAAGATATCAGGCATCAGCCACCAACCCAGCCCAATTTGTTTTCAAAGGATTACTCTGGCCCAGGAGGGCCAGTTCACTGTCCCTCAGACCGTTGGAGGGCCGGACTGCGGGCCCCCAGACTAGTCGGCTGCTAAGCAGGACAGGCGGCGGCGGCGGCAAAAACACCTGGCCGGCCGGATAAATGTCCTAAGTGGGTTGCATGTGCCCCGTGGGCCGTAGTATGAGGACGCCTGCGCCACTGTGTAGCAAAGGCTGAGGGCAAGGGGAGTGGATTATGGAGTGAAGGCTGGGAGATGAGACAGGAGAATGAAGATAGATTCTGGATAAGATAGAGTTAATAAGATCTGTTGATAAGACAGGAAACAGGTTGAAAAAAGAGAACACAAGGATACCTTAGGGCTGGAGCAATCAGGTATTCAGCGTTTCAGTAGGGGAGAGTGGATGAGGGACAGGCTGAGGGAGAAAATCTTGAGTTCTGGGGAGAGATCACAGGTGGAAATAACAGACTTGGATGTAAGTGGCCCTGGGACTGGATAGGAGAGATCCGGACATAGAAGACAAAGGACCAGCCACAGGGCACCCCGCGGGCTGGGAGGGGCAGAGAAGGAGCAAGAAAATGCAGCAAGCGGCTCCCACATGCGTGCACCTGCCGACCCAGGGAGGCGGGGGAAACTGAGAGCGTGAGGCGTCATGTAAGAAAAAGGTCACGAGGGGAGCTGGCAGCTGGGTGGAAAGGCCAGAAAATGCAGAGAGAACCAGGAAGGTGAGAACTGAGAAGCGACCGCCAGGTTTCGGACGGTGAAGACCGACTGCGCCGGAGCGGAAGTGTAGCGACCCGCCGGCCCGACGTGGAGCCCAAGACTGGACAAAGCGAGATTCCAGAAGGGAGCCAAGAAAAGGGGCGGTCGCTAGGAGGCGACGTGGAGTCCAGAGCGCCGGGCCTTTGCGGTTTATTCCGGTTTGGGGGTTTTCAGAGGTAGGAGGCGCCTGACCCAGTGGAGGGGAGAGAAAGGATCTTGCTGGAGACCAAGAGGGAACAGTTGCTGGGAGGTGAGACCTTGACGGGGCAAGCACAGGCCGTGGGTCCACCCGGGAAAGCAGAGGGTGTGACACTCTCCAGGTTCTCCTGAGGCCTGCTCTGTGCACACCACTAGAACAGCACCCTGTCCCTGAATTCTTAGTAGAAGAATCCCAGACAGCAAAAAACTATCAACCCGAAGTAGTGCATCCCTAATGGTGGACTTTCAGACACTACAGGAAAGACATAGATGGGCTGTGAAGTGTCTTTTTTATTTCCCTGAAGCTACACTTTCTGGGCGATCGTGTACTCCACTTATGCATAAGCCCAGCCCTGAGAGCTGTTTCACTTTTTCTCCCTAGGATCCCAGAACCAAGTCATGGATTTTTTTTTTTCTTTTGAGACAGGGTCTTGCTCTGTTGTCCATGGTGGAGTGCAGTGGCATCATCATAGCTCACTGCAACCTCAAACTCTTGGGCTCAAGTGATCTTCCTGCCTCAGCTTCCCAAGAGCGCGGACTCTAAGGCATGTACCACCATGCCTGGCTAATTTATCTATTTTTTTGTAGAGTTAGGGTCTCCTTCTTACTCAAGCTATTCTTGAACTCCTGGCCTCAAGCAATCCTCTCTCCTTGCCCTTCCAAAGTGCTAGAATTCAGTTGTGAGCCATCACACCTAGCCAATCTTTTTTTTTTTTTTTAATTTTTTGTACACACAGGGACTCGCTAGATTGCCCAGGCTGGTCTCAAACTCTTGGCCTGAAGAAATCCTCCTGTGTGACAGTGCTGCAAAGGAATAGTCTGCACTGAAATGCTTTTAAGAGGGGAGACTGTCGCTCGCTCTGGCAGACAGCACCTAACTTTATTTCTTGCAAGCTTATATAGTCTTTTTTTTTTTTTTTTTGAGACAGAGCCTCAAGCTGTCCCCCTGGGTAGAGTGCCGTGGCATTACAACTCACAGCAACCTCCAACTCCTGGGCTCTAGGGAGTCTCTTGCCTCCGCCTCCCAAGTAGCTCGGACCACAGGCACCCGCCACAACGCCCGGCCATCATTGTTGTTTGGCGGGTCCAGGCTGGATTCGAACCGCCACCTTAGGTGTACGTGGCTGGCACCTTAGCCGGTTGAGCTATAGGCGCCGAGCCAAGCTCATATAGTCTTAACAATACTAAGTTCTGCACATACACATTCTATTAATAAAACTAATTGGCAGCCAATGGTTTATATGATAAAAGTACAAAGACATACTGAGCAACCACAAAAACTTATTCAACTGTTTGTCTGAGAAAACAGGTGCAACTTGTAACTGAACTGCACATTAACTTATCTTGTTTCTCAGCTCTCAAGGTCCCTTCCAGGACATTCCAGAGACAGCCAGACTCTGCTTTCAGGGTCTGCCTCCTGCATGATTAGCTTTCTAATCAATTCAGAGGGTCTTAAAGGAACATCCCTTCCTGTGGACTCTGAGAAAGGTTCTTCAAACGGAAGTCAATGACACTTGAAGTTAACATTGATGTTACATCCCTGCCTTGCCCTCCTAAAGTGCTGGGATTACAGGTGTGACCACTGTGCCCAGCTCATTATAGATCATTAAGCATTAAATGAATACCACCTGTATTCTGAGCTGGCCTAGCCTCTGTAGACCTTATTTTGTGTATTGTGGGTTGTATTTTAAGACTAAGTTCATTGCACTTTCAGAATTTACTGAGGGGTGGGGGGAGGGGCAGTGAGATTGTCTCTCCTAAAACTTTACTGTGATTACTTTCATCAGAGAACAAGATAATATATAACCTATTGTGTTTTCTTATTTTTCATTTGCTTCAAGGAAGCACAGAAATAAATTTAATACTTAATCCTAACAGCTTAGAGTTTTGGTGGCTCAAATTTTTATTTCCTATCATTACAGTTTTGTGCTCCTTATATTTTTTGTTTTGTTTATTGTTTGAATCAAACTTTGTATTTTTAGATGATTGCTGATTCACTTGCAGTTGTAGGAAGTAATACAGAGAAATCTTGTGAAAGCTTTATCCAATTTCTCCTGATGGTAACATTTTGCAAAATTATACTATGGTACAGAACATTCCATTGCCAAATATTCTTCTTATTTCAAGAATGTTCTATACATGGAGTCATTTAGTATATAACTTCTTGAGATTGATTTTTTTCACTCAGCCTAATTTTCTGGAAATGCATCCAGCCTGTTGTATTTATCAATAGTTTGTTTCCTTTTATTGATCATCTTCTATGATGTGGAGATACCATCTTGTTTAATTTCTCCTTTGAAGGTCATCCAGGTTGTTTCTAATTTGGGGCTATTTCAAATAACCTGCAAACCATTCATGTACAGGTTTTTGTTCCTGTTTGCTTTTCTTTTTTTCTTTCTTTCTTTTTTTTTTTTTTTAGACAGGGTCTCACTTTGTCTCCCTTGGTAAGAGTGCTATGGCATCACAGCTTACAGCAATCTCAAACTCTTGGGCTTAATCGATTCTCTTGCCTCAGCCTCCCAGTAGCTGGGACTACAGGCACCCACCACAACACCCAGCTATGTATTTCATCATTGTTGTTTAGCAGGCCCAGGCCAGGTTCAAACCCACCAGCCCTGGCTAACTGATCTGTGGCCTAGAAGCAGATGAATCTTGGGAAGAGTTACATAGTTTGTTTGTGGGTCCTATGGAGCCATAATTTTGATTTATGTCCCTGACTCCTGGCTTATATGAAACAATTGCAATTCTTAGAGTTGGTTTTTTTGTTTTTGCAGTTTTTGGCCAGGACTGCCAGTATATGGGGCTGGCACCCTGCTCCTTTGAGCCATAGGCACTGCCCGAGAGTTTAATTTTGCTTTTTCTCTATAGATTACTGCTTTATATGAACCAGGTTTGGTTTCTAACAGATTGCTTAGGAAAGGTTCAGAGATGTGAGTGGACATTCTTTGACATGTATAGACAATTGAAACCTAATTTGAAAAGAGAAGGAAGTTCAGTTGGCCTCTATCTAGTGCCACTGGATCTGAATCTAACATTAGAAATGAAGGTAATCATTCCATGGAGCCCTGGCTTTATAAAAGTCTCTGCTAAAAAGAAGGCTTAATTCAGAGTAAGTGACAGAACTAACCCACCATGAAACCCAAGCCACATGTCTGTGGAGCCACATCTGACATGTCATCATTGGAGGAAAGGAGAGTGAGAAAGTGTGTGTACCTTTTCATTCTTGAGGTTTGAAAGTGACTAAATACATCTTTTGCTCTCTGCCTACATTAATGTAGTATATAGCAATTATATCTGCTAGTTTCTTTTTTTTTCTTTTTCTTTTTCTTTTGAGACAGAGTCTTACTCTGCCATATTCGGTAGTGTCATGGCATCACAGCTCACAGCAACCTCAAACTCTTGGGCTAAGCCGATCCTCTTGCTTCAGCCTCCAGAATAGCTGGGACTATAGGTGTGTATGACTATGTCCTCCTAGTTTTTCTGTTTTTAGTAGAGAGGGGGGCCTCACTCTTGCTCAGGCTGGTTTTGAACCCCTGAGCTTATGCGATTCACCTGCCTCAGCCTCCCAGAGTGCTAGGATTACAGGCCTGAGCCACTGCACCTGGCCTGTTCATTTATTTCATTCAGCATTCTCCTCATTCTGTGCCGGTGACAGGCTTGGGGCTAGAAACCCAGAGATTAGTAAGTGCAGTTCTTATGCTCCAAGGACTCTCGGTCTACACACATCTAAATAGTCATGGCATGATGTGCAAGTGGCAGAGGTGCCGGCAGCAACATCCAGCACCAGGGGTGGTAGCAGCAGGGGCTCACTAGACTAGGTCAGTGGTTATGTCTGCCTGTCCACTCTTCCTTTATTCTTGTCAGTTTTTCCAAGCCTTCCTGGTGGTGGTACCCAGTTATCCTCCCAGTAAAGTATTTCTCTGATTAAATCAGCCGGTATTGATTGGTGGGCTGCTAGTTTCAGGTTCTTAGGAATCACTCCAGAATTGTTTTCTGAATGGAAATGTAAGACTAAGCCTCATTGGTTGTGAATGTGTTGAAATATTTCCATGTCAGTTGGTAAATAGACACATCTCCTACCCCCTGCTCCGGTCTCTCCCCTGGAACCCCTCCTACAATCCATCATCTAGCGGAGTTACAGCAGGCACAGGTGTTCTGGTACTACAGGTGGTTATTTTTCTGATTGATGAGTTACTGTGTGTGTATAAGTGTATATAAGTATCTATATACACATAACAGATTCATGTCAAATACATACATTTTGAAAGGCTAATGTGAGATCTTTCCATAGCAGCACATTTAGATTTAATTCATTTTTAAAATGACTGCTTGGTGTGTTCTGTTACATGGATTTAACCATAATCTGTTTAACCAATTTGGGAAGGTTTTTAAAAATGGACACCAGCATCATCATGGTGCAGATTCAGGGAGGGGTTGACCACATGAATTTTCAAAAGCTCTCCAGGGGGTTCTAATTATCAGCTGGGTCTGGGATTTACTGATATAAGCAATACATCAGATCACCCTACCAATATGAAAGCAGACAGAAGATCCAAAACTTCCTTTTTGAAAAAAGTCCTGTCTTTTCTTTTGTTTTGTTTTTTTTTTTTT